TTTTTTTTATGTCTTTTAATGGGAAAATTTTTATAATGCAGTATGGGCCCATAGTTGACATTGATCTGAAAGTACCTCCAAGACCGCCGGGTTATGCTTTCGTTGAGGTGGGTTCTAAATATTTATAGCTTGTAGAAGTGAGTTATTGTGATGAATTTTCCATCCTTTTCCATCTTAATAGATAGGTGATGAAATTTTATTGCCTTGAACTAGACTTGTTTATACACAAGTTTCGTATCTCCTTTATTTATTTATTTAATACTTCATAGACATTCTTTATTGCAGTTTGAAGATCCCCGTGATGCCGAAGATGCAATTAATGGTCGGGACGGATATAATTTTGATGGCTGTTGCTTAAGGGTTAGTTTTACTTGCTTATTCCTATTCTCTTGTACCAAAATCTCTCCATATTCTGTTATAGCTAGATGCCAGGTGCCACAATTGCTCCCCTTTCTCATTATATTGCATCTTTATTGGTACTTGTAGGTTGAACTCGCACATGGAGGTCGAGGATATTCATCATCAGCTGATCGTTATAGCAGTTACAGTAGCAGTAGCCGTGGGGTTTCCAGGCGTTCGGACTATCGTGGTACGTGTAGTCTAAGATGCTTTTATTTGTAAGCTCTAGAAAGTAAAACTTTGTTTGAGAATTGATTTTATGTTACTTTGCTTGTGCAGTGCTGGTGACTGGATTGCCTTCTTCTGCTTCGTGGCAAGACCTGAAAGTAAGCACCATACTTCTAATTCATCTTATATGGCACTGCCCTTTACACGTGGGGCTTTGTGCAACTGCGTTGTGAAGTATCATCATTGAATTAGTTGAATCCATTCTTAAAAGATATTGGTCACATGTGTTCAATTACCAGGATCACATGCGGCGTGTTGGTGATGTCTGTTTTTCTCAAGTCTTTCGTGATCGTAGGGGTAAGTAGTATCAACTGTTCTGAGTTGCATGAATCTGGAGTTTGGTATGAAATTTCTCAATTGCTTTGTAATAATTTTCTTGTAGGTATGACGGGAATTGTGGACTACACAAACTATGACGATATGAAATATGCTGT